CTTCATAACTGATAGCAATTTTGTTAAAAGAAATAGATTCCAGTATACTCACTGTGTCTCTAAGGCGAATTTTAGCTCCTGCAGACAATAAAACTTGTACAACATCATGATATCCTCCTCTTGCAGCAACATGAAGAGAAGTAGCTCCACCCTATAAGAAACACAAGACAATGTTTGTACATGTCAGTCTATTACAAAAACATAAAGTATTGTACTACCATGTAAAACTGAAAATATTGCCAGGATAAAAAAATGCAAATGACAGATATTATAATGGCAGTTTCTCACAGAACAATCTGCCAATATTAACTCTTCACTAATATTTCTACAGTGATCAGTGTTATTATGTATGTACCACAAGTACATTGACTACATTGTACCAAGTTAATCATTAAATGATGCCAAAAAATACACGTACATGTACATGCATGTATACCTGACCCATGTCCAAGGGCAGCAGGCTATCAACATAACAGCATGCTATACATGTACATGTATGCATATACTGCAGTAGTTACCTCTTCAGGATTCTGATAATTTACATTAGCTCCTTGAGACAGTGCAGACTGGACACTAGTAGAATCACCTCTTTCAGCAGCTTCATATAACTCCTCATTCTACAATGAATCATACAGTAAGTTAAATACCGCACAGCCAGAAATATTGATTGGAGTCACATCTGGCAATTTGCTAAAAATTAATAACTGACAAATTTTATATTGGCAATAATTCTAGTAGCTGCATGTGGTGAGAATCAACTTAAATGGCAGTATTACTTTGGTGGTGTTTAATTATCTCACATTCCCTGCTAATAATTCCAGCTGTATGGTACTGTATTGAAGTGGAGCTGTCTAGTTTTTAACATCATTATTACTACTACTAAGTTTTTATTGGGTCCAGTACCATGTACATGTACATGTAGGTCATTTAATCCTTCACTCATGCACTTACTCCATCAGTAAACACTTTAATACAGTATAGACACTAAAGCTAAATATTTCCAATGTACATTTTACAAGTGGGAGTGGTAAAATGGTACAGTAGATGTGACTGCTAATAATACTGACTCACATGAACTGAAGTATTTGGATCAGCTTCTTCACTTAATAATTGCACAATCTCATCATGTCCATCTCTTGCTGCTGCAACTAGAGCAGTATGTCCTAACTATAAAAATAAGACGATAAATAATGTAAGTGTGTTATTACTAGCTATTAAAACTCTGTTCCTCATACAGTACATGTACAGTGTACATAATCATTAAGGTATTACAAGTATATTTCTACATTTTCATAGACTAACTAAAAATTTTAGAAGAATAAGAAATAACATACTTATGATTATTTTTTGGAAAATTAATTAATCTGTGCAGTTATTACAATTATAAAACCATATATACATGTACAAAACTAATATATACAAAATTATAAAATATTTCATCATTTTGATGACAAAAATTTGGGGCTATTCAGTGTATTGACAAGAACATGCAGTAGAAGCCTATCATAATACATTCATTGCCATGATTATGATAACTACGTTTGTACATGTACAACCATTTGAATGGGTGAGGATTTTAAAGCTAAGTTTAGAATATACACTGTGATGTCATTATATTTAATGTAACATAAGAGCAATGATAATACCAGCCCGTTTTTGGTTTTATGTTATATGCAATGTCATGTCACAGGTGAAGTTACGTATATCGTAAACATAGCTTAGTTACAACTACATGTACACATTATTGCACCTGTCATGTTTCTCACATTGAAAACTGACAGTTAAGAAGGGACCGAATTGAATACAAGAAGATTTATGGTGCATTAATTACATGATACTCACATTATTTTCAGTGCTTCGATCAGCTCCATTATTTAATAGCAACTGTACAATGTCATAATGTCCTCCCACTGCTGCTTCAATAAGAGCAGTATATCCTTCCTATAATAACAAGATAATGATATCATAATAAACTCATATTGCACCATTATTGCATAGTTGTGGGTGGCTTCAATCACTGCAGTGTCTTCCTGGGTTAAAGTACATGTGGTACATGTACCTTTAATAACTAATTAATTCTTGCTGCATTAGAGCCTGCTTTCTCTATCAATAATATCTTGATAATGATTGAACTGTTTGGTGAAAAGAATTTTTAAATTCTGTTACCTCCTCATTCCTCTACTGATGGTATTAATGAAACTGAATACAAGGTTTGTTAATTGCATTTTAATGACCTGCATGGGACCCATGAGATGTACATGTATATACAAATATTATATACAATTATATCAGAACTAATAGCAATTAAGATGCTTTACCAATCAGCCCACAAATTTTACAT